AAAAGAGGAGAGTTAATGTCGACCAGCCACTGTACATGGAATTGCCTCAGTATACTACCCAAAGGCTATGAAGGACAGGACTGTGTTTTGAAACTTGACAAGTCCATCTATGGGCAGACCGATTCACCTAAATTATTCTATGACATCTATGTCGCGGGATGATCCACTTGGTTTCGAAACCTCGGCGGCAGACCCATGTTTGTTTATTCATAAGGAGCATCAACTCATGGTATTAAATATTGTGATGACCAATCTGGCTCAGTCCAGACAAATGATCTGATTGAGTCCTATGTTGGGCAGCTCCAAAACTTGGATATGACCTCACACCATGGAAGAAAAAGGTGACATCTTTGATTCCTCGGCATTAATTTTGAAAGACAGGGAGAAAATGTTGAGCTTACTCAAAAAGGGCTCATCAATAAAGTCATCGAATATACTGGTATGTCTGACGCTAGCAAGAAGCTTTCTCCTGCCGCCACCGATCCTCTCGGAGCTGACAAACTGGGGGCCCCATTTGAAGAAGAGTGGAAGCTATCCAGCTGCAGTTGGATGCTTCTTTATATTGCGTCGAACACTCGCCCAGACATCACATTTAGTGTGCACCAGGTGGCACGATTCAGTCACAATCCCAGGCATTCACATGCTCAAGCAATTAAACGTATCATTCGGTATCTCATTGGCACAAGTGACAAAGGCATTTGTTTTAGCCCTAAACTTGATCAGGGACTTGACTGTTGGGTCGATGCTGACTTCGCCGGATTGTATGGTATGAGGATGAACAGGATCCTGTGTCGTCAAGTCTCGCACTGGATTTGTCCTGACTCTGTTTGGGTGCCCTATTATCTGGTCGAGCAAGCTACAGACTGATATTACTTTGAGCTCCACTGCTGCTGAGTATGTTGCCTTCAGCATGTCAATGAGGGAGCTGCTTCTATGCGAGCTTTGCTCAAAGAAATTGGTGTTGGTAGCAAACTGAATATGCCGGTAATTACTGATAGTCTCGTGCGCTCTACAGTGTTCGAAGACAACCAAGGTTGCCTGTCTCTTGTGAATGTTCCCAAAATGTCTGCGCGCAACAAGTACACGTTTAAAGCGTATTAACGCGGGACAGTTAATTCACGCATTTGTTAAGAGTTAATAACAGCATCTTTAGAGATTTAACATTTCGTTAACACAACTGAACATGTTTCATTAACAAAAGTTAACTCGCAGCGACAATGGGCAAGACGACGGCAATAGTACGTCAATAGAGGCCCTCCTTCCACTCTATGAGCACTGACAGCGTGGCATGAGTGTGTGATTACATGATGAGGTGGTGTGGTTAGATGGTGAGCTGACTGAGCTCGGCAAAAGCGCCATCCCAGTCGGACGAGTCATTGGACTCGAGTGATTGATTGTCGGGGTCCTCGAGTCGAGTGCTGCTACCGCTGCTGTTGCCATCTCCAGTCTCTCCATTCTCTTCATTGTCTCCTCCATCATTGTCTCCATCAACGTCTCCTTCGTGATCGGTTCCATCACCGTCGGTTCCATCATCACCGTCGGTTCCATCATCATCAGAACGCAAATCATTATTCACAGCAAAAAGACCTCCACCTCCAACGAAATGAACGAAAACCTTGCGTCCTCCTTGACGAGATACAAGTTCCAAATGAAAGGTAGACTGCGATACGATTTCGGCTTCAAGATCCAGAAGAGTGAGTCTTCCAACAGGAAAGAAATGGTTTGGATGAATGTGGAAACTCATGTTGGCATTGATGCCTTGGTTTACGGCGGTGACAAGAGCTAGCTGGATGTCGCCACAAATAGCATCTACGCGGTCTTGAGGCATAGCCATAGGCTGCTGTGGTTGAAAGAAAAAGGTGTTAGAAATGAACATCTTGATATTGGTTGCTTTCGACTTGTGCGAATGGCAATTTATGCAACGTTGTTGCTGTCGGATGGCCAACCAACACACATATTGGTGCGCTTGCTGATGCAGTTGGCTCTGTCTTTGGATCCCACAGAATGATTCTGAGCCCAAAGGAGAGAGTAGGGCCGCTACTGACAATGCTACTGGAAACTTCCCCACGGGCAAGAGAGCATTCTTCTTTGCCACAAAGAGACACGAAACAGCACCACGGCTCGTACTAGATGAGGTGACCGGTGCAATTGCAATTACAATTCCAATACGCAAATCAAAGAAATGGCAATGACAGATGCTGTTTACGCTTTCAGCGGTGGGCCGGTATGGAACACCATTGTCGCTGTTCGTCCTTCCGCTGAATTAGAAATCATGGACGGCCCTGGAAGTGAAACGCGGCACCCACTTATTACTTGGCGATCTTGTGTGAAGATGGAAGATGGTTCAATTGTGCAAGAAACGATGCAAATGAAGGCTACTTCCATTACCTTTGACCGACACGGTGATTCAGTTAAGTTTCGATTCTTTGTTCAGGGCTACGAGCAAACTGCTGCCGATGAAGATAATGGCGATGACTCCTCGGAGGGGAAAAAGCAATTCATCACTGCCACCGAGCTCACCACACAGGAGCTCCGTCTCACATCTCGAACAAAATGGGTGACCAAAGGGTTCAAGTGGAAGAGCGAATCGTCTAATGGACTTAAAACCCGTACGATCGTTATTGAATGCAAGTATGGAGACGACAATTTGCAGCATTCCGACATTGTTCGAATTGAAGTGTTTGCTCCATGGACGTCCGACTGTGACAAGGGCAAGCGACTGCTGAAGGCGGTGGAGTGGGCAAAGCTTGTCGTCGACGCTAACTTAAAGTTTCAGGAGCTGCTACAAGAGAAGTAATTTGTACGGTGTAAGCGTCAGGCTATCCTATGACTTCCAAGGGCACCATCATCATAATATCCATCCATTATAGTATTATTGTGTGTCCATCAAAATAGAAACAATCTTGTCCAATAGATGTATCAATGCAAGTCGGCCTCAATCTCATCCCATTCGGTTGCCTCAAGTTCTTCGATCACATGGAGCAGTACGTTCTTTCGTCGCTGCTTATTGAATGAGAGCAACCTTAGTGCAATTGCATCTTCCTCTGTTTCCCAGCAACGCTGTAGACCCACATCTCTATCAAAGTCCACAATCTCACCAGCATACAACGACTCCAGCATGCTGTCATCTTCCTCCGTCCACTCTTCGACTGTTGGTTCCGGCATATCCTTGTATTTGGCATTCCAGAGAGCAAGGAGCTGAGGCTTGTTGACCGATACCTTCTCATTGTGTGGCTCTGTCGGAATTGGGCCTTGCTTGAATTGAATGGCGACTTGCAGATCAGCTTTCTTCCACGCCTTGCTGTCTTTCTTCTGCTGTAAGACCTGTTGTGCAGCAGCTGTCACCTCTTGGAATGATTCCCATTTCTCTTTCTTCTTCTCCAACTCTCTAGCCTGCTTCTCTTGATCCTTGCGAGCGAACGCAATCAATGCATCGTCACACGTCATTGGAGCGCCACCATTGGTAACGTGAAACCAACCACCCGCAGTCGACGTGCCGACCTTCTGAATCGCCTCCTGTCTCTCTCGCGAGTTTGGCTCGGTGATTGTTGATGCTCTTCCTCTGACTTGATTGACTGTCACTCGGTTGATAGAGCGCCGTAGGTTGTCAGCTAGGTCATATCCATTCAAATGCAGGGCTTCGATTGCCTGTCGATTCTTCCTCTCGAGCTCATCAAGCAAGGCTCCGTACGGATCAGCATCCTCATCAATACCACCATCCTCCGATTCAATAACCTCGTGCCGAATTTGAGAGGACTTCAACGCCACTCGAGTGCTTGGACAGTAACCACATTTGTCCATTGCTTTGTGGATGTGCGCTGCATCCATCGCCTCTGAGAAAGCATCAACAAGCTCGACTGTACTGCCATCAGTCAATGTGACAACACCTCCAAAGACCATACTGCCAACATCTGCCATCGTCAATGTTGCCGATGCTCCCTCCAAGCGAAATCTTGCGGCCCAAAGGATGGCTCGATTCTCATAAATATGCTTCTTTAAATACCCAAACATTTGATCAAGCTCCTGTCCTGTTGATGTGCCATTTGGCATGCCTGGATAAAGATGAAAACCCAAAGATCGAAGATAAACTAGTGTGTCTGGGTTGTTCCGACCAGGACCTGAGTCAATCTTGACAAGCACTCGGTTGTCAACGTTGTCAGAACTCTTTGGGTAGAGTGGGATAATGCAACGACTAAAGAATTCTGAAAGCATTTCCTTTGTCATGCCTCCCTTCGGGTTGACAGCAAACGGGACGTTGTGATACCTCTCCGTGTTGAAGCCATAAGTGGCTTTCAGCTGGGGCAAAGTCGCCGCGAAGTCTGCTTTGAGCTTGTAGTTCTTCTTATCCGTGGCACCGGTTGGAAAAATGAAGAGAGGTGGCAACACCTCACCAGCAAAGTTAACTCCAAACATAATTGTCATCGATGCTCCATTCTTCTCTGCTGCTTGGCCACCGTCCTTGATTCCCGCTCTTGTTACCGACGGAATCAGGCTCTCTCTCCCTCCAATCGTCGCATCTGTTCCTTCGAGTGCAAGATTCATCTCATCAAATTGAAGCACATGAGAAAGTCGCTTCTTGTGCCAAACGATGTAACCATCTTCATTGGGACGCTCATCCGCTGTAAGCTCTCGAGCAAACCCCAAATCGACTGCATGCTTCTCCCAGTTCTCGTAGTGCCGGAGCTGAGTCTTGTAGGTCAACCAAAGCACACGGAGAGACTCTCTACTATCGGCCTTGGTTAAATCTTGGAGGTGACAGATCTCTTCCTCAATTCGACGATAAAAGCGAGCATCGTTCATTGCAGGCAGCCCCTCGGATTTCCTCTTGTCATTCAAAATCTCTCCGACAATGCTCTTCAGTTGCTCTCGGTTTGATCGTTCCTGGCAGTTTGATTGCTCAATAGCACAAGCAGTAAACACAGCCGAGCAGAAATCTTTGAATTCCTCAATTGGGATCTCTCCCTGCCGTCCAAGCCGAGGGGGTGACTCGTTGATACTGCCTTTTGCGACTGCGGTTTGTATCTCACGGCCAGAAAGACAATCGATACCAACCAATTTGTTGAAAGTCGTTGCGACGGCTTCAGCTGACTTGAAAATTGAAAGAGTGTTTTCATTTGCCCGAACAGAGTTGTAGATGACAGTTGCAGCTTTGAAAAGGGACTTTCGGATGTTATCCAGCTCTCGACGCGACTGTCTTTCTTGTTGCGCTGCTTTGCTTGTGCGTCGCGTATCGGTAGTGGTAGTAAGGTGGGAGATTGCACTTCGAATGCTTCCTTGAGGCTTCCTTGCGTCTTTCCAATCAATGTTAGATTTTGCACCCGAGGACATTGATACACTATCACCACAATAAGCGCTGTCAAAGAGCACTTGCATCTCCGTATTGCAAAAATTTGGAGGGGTGTTAAAGAAAGAAAACTCTTCCTTCTCTTGGTCAAAGCCCACAAAAGCAGGATTTGAATCTGCAGCTGAAATTGGGGACAAGACGACTTGAGAACCATCGTCATCATCAATCAATACATGGGGAACGGGCCTCGCTGCCACCGCCGGTGGTTTTGGTAGATGGTTGTTTGGAGGGGGCTTTTTGTGCCCGGGGCGTGGAATTTGGTTCTGTCGAGCTACTGGAGGCATCTGGGCAGCCTGCCTCTGTTGCTGTTGCTGCTGCTGCCTCTTTTGGGAGGATTTGATTGCCCGGCTGACTTTCATGAAGCAAGCTCCAGCTTTCCGCTGTTCATGTTTGAACCCGGCGAGGGCCATTGTCCATGCTTGTGTTGGTTTCTTTCCAATGGCGGTAGGATTCACGGCAAGGCGCTGAAATAGATATACTGCCCGCTTTGTGTTTTCTTCAATATTGTCAGTGTGTTCTGGTCTGCCATGTCGCTGCTCCATTCCATTTCGTCTGCGATCAAACTGTTTCTTGACTTGTTCCGTGCTGGCAATTTCTTCATTCATTCCAACAGCAACAAGACAATCTTCTCGCGACAAATATACCTCGCCAAAGTCAGGGATGCTTCTGTAGACCTCTATGGCCTTCACTACAAGATCGTCATGGTCCATGTTGGCTACGGAGTGCTTTCTTGAAGTTGATTGAGACCGAGCGCAAATTCGTGCGGCCTCCTCCGACAAGAAAATGACAACAGAGGATACTACTCTTAATACCCAACCCTTTTTGCTTCAACCGACCAACAACCCTGCTACCACATGCATCCAGACACATGTTACCTTCACTCTAAAGCTGCACAAAGCTCCCAAACGGAGAGGAAGAGCCGCCATTGTGATGGTTCAAATGAATGCAATTTTTGTTGTTCGCGGTGTTAATAAGCTGTTAAGGCTGTTAATACAGCGTGAATAACCCCTTAACAAGGCGTGAATCGTTAATCCGCGTTAAACGTGTATTTGGCATTGAAGTACCACTTCTTCAGGTCCAATATCGGGGAGTCGAAGGGCATCGTGGCTAAGTATATTCCGACTCTGGAACAACGGGCCGACATTTTCACTAAGGGTCTTCCGGCTCCACAGTTTGCTGTCATTCGGAAGCTCCTCATGGGATGGTAATTTTCCTCAGCACTTTGCTGGGGACTCTCTCCTATCGTTTCTTGCTCCAGCTTCATTTCAGCTGTAAGGGAGTGCGACGGGATACAGCTTACAATTCAGCTTTACAGCTTTACAATTAGCAGGCTTATTCTAGAAAATAATCAATAACTGCTCACTTATTTGGAAATACAAACTTTACATCTCTTAGATCGTTAGATTAATCAGTACACAATGGTATTGTCGCATCTAGTAGTAGTAGCTAGCTGATACGGCGGTACGGTACATGTTGTAGCAGCTGGATAGGTCGTATGCTGTTACTATAGCAATTACTGTACAAATCCCACAATATTACGATGGTCTTAATCTGCAGTGGGTCTTAATGCGCAGATCACTCTATATCAAGGTAATACATGTAGATATCAAGTCCATAGCAAGTAGAAATGGGAAGAATTCTCTCGGGTGCCTGACTCATAGCTAGCTACTTTCTGCCGTCTCATATCTATTCTGCTCTGGAGCGAACTGGCTGTTTGGTTGTTGGCTGTCTCTCATTCGTCCAGGACTGAACGAGGGATGCGCCCATCATTGCTTGAATTAACCAGAGCCAAGGAAAGAGCAAGCAACGATGCACCAAACAGTGAACGAGATATAGGGTGTTAAAATGAACTCTCCTGACCACCGAGCACAGACAAGCTGCGCTCGCCCAGAGCAGCTAGGCACAACTAGTAGAGGATTAGGTGAGTGGAGAGACTTGGCCATTTACTGAGCCGACCGTCTCCAGTCCCCGGGGTACCGGGGAGTCCCGGATAGATACCACACGGCAAAAGGGAGTCCCGGGAATGTGATGTTCCACGGGACAGCCTTGAGTCGTGCAACCAGGGAGGGAGAGGTGGGTTAATCTAATCTAGGTTCTCGCTGAATGAAGAATTGTGAGCTGAGAGAGAGACAACCTTCTTGCGATCGGCAGTTCAATGGCTGATCTTGGCTAGGTCGCTGGCTTTAGTGATTCATGGTTGCCGCTGTTGATCTTGCCAAATGTGGTCTTGGACGGGCGTCGTTGCCTTAAGGGTAACATCTAAGAAGCGCATTTTTAGGTAGTGCTAGAATCGACATGCGTGCAGGTACCAAACGCCAACCAGCACGATCCCGATCCGTGACGTAATTTCTTCCAAGAATGCGTGCAGTGATTGGAATCGGGCCGACCGGTGTCAGTAGACCAAGCTGATCAGCTCTGGCCCTTGATCTTGTCTGTCTAGCACCTATAGGATTGAAAGCAAGGTCCAAACCAAGGGCTTTCTGCATGTTGGTGGCAGCGCTTGTTCTGTTGCATGTGAGATTGCTGATATCCCACAGTTTGAATTTTTTATTGCAATAAGGGCACTCAAACTCCTTCTATTGATGATGCCATGGCTGCAAGCTAGCTAGCCAACACTACTGCTACTAGTACTAGCTAGGCGCACTGGCTGGTGATTGGATTCTGTGTGCTGGGGAACCGCCCGCTTACCAATCGGATATAGTTTATGGTACCAAAGAGAGGGTTGCCTTCCCGAAAAGACGGTCCAAAAAGTGGATCCAAATCGTGAAGCAGGCAGTCTTGCCGGGCGGGCCTTCGTTGCATGCCCATGTGGAACACACAAT